CCTGTTTCATCACTTCCTGTAATACTGGAAGTGATGAAATGGGCCTATTATTCGTCCTGAAAAGCCTTGCAGAGGTTTTTTTTCCAAGCCTCTGGGAGGCCGAAAAAGGCCTCAAACCAGCCGAAAAATCAGCTGTGAGGTGCAGTGCAGGTAAGGGGGTGGCGGGGGGGATTGCGCATGCATGCACAGTGGGTGTGGGGGTGTGTGCATTGCATTCTGGGTGCTGGCATGTGAGTGTGCATGCGCGCCAACACGCATGCAATTTTTGGCACAGGAGCCCCAAAAGGTTAGCCACCACTGTCTTAGATATACCTTCCAAGTGACCTTCAAGGGTAGCCCCACGAACCGTATATCACAATAGTCCACTTGTGATGCGACCAGGCATGAGGGACCCTCTGAAGGACATCCAGGAAAGGATGCAACTGGTGCACTAGATATGTCTATGCAAAGGCCTTCTTGGCCATGGTGGCTATCTGCTCTCTGAATAAAGTATTCAAGATCTTCCTCAACAAAAACCATTTGAGTCAATAAAGGAAACACAAGTTTTGATTTGGAAAGACAATTAGTACCAGTTTTATGGCAAAGCTAATATTAATTAGATATGAGTAGGGAATAATGAGTGAATACCCATTTTCTTAAATCCAATGTGTACAGGTTTGGGGCAAGGAATGGGTAAAGAAGAGAAATAGCAGAAAAGGACCCTGTACTCACGAGATAACCATAGTTTTTATTTTATTTTTTAAAGACTTTAACCAAGGGCTTAATAAGTCTTCTATTCAAGATTGGCCTAAACAAGATTATCTTAATATCGGATAAGGTTTGCAATCCATAAATAGGCCATTTCAAAGGCTTTCCTTACGCTTTTGTAGGCAGGTTGGTTGCTTGTTTGATTAGGCAACATTTTATAGTAAATAAACTTTAACTTAATTAGTAGAAGAATGCACACCCTTGTCTTTAATTTAGTCAATAGAAATGTGTAAGCCATGACGATCAAGACATTTTGTTCCTTGCAATCTTACTAAACTTTTCCTAGTTGGGCTCCCAGAACAAAATGAACTTTTAGAAGATTTTGGATAATATTTAAGCAAAATAAAAGTCAATAAAATATCAAGAAACAAACCAACTGTAATATGGCTGTGGATTTATTCATTTTGGAACACCAAAAGCTGGTCTTTTTTACAAGGTTCATCCTTCTGTTGTCCTTGAGAACCATCACTTAGTAATGAACTCACAGATATACTACTTTCTGTTGTTGGCCTATATTAGTGTATTTCCTCCCTCCCTCCCTTCCTACCACCTTCCCTCCCCTTCTTTCATCTGCCTTCCTTCCCCCTTCTTTCCCTCCCTCCCTTCCTTCCAACCACAGGTCGCTTATTATAATTTTAAAAAGGAAGGGACTTTTGGATGTGTGTACTGATTTACATCTTGAAAGTCATCTGATAATGATTAAGGAATAAAGTTGTTATGGTGTCACAAGAGAGCCACGATGATATGGGGGAAAGAAATTTTATATTGAAACAAATGAGGAATATTATTTTCTGCCTGAAAAATATTGCCTAAATGTATCTGGACACGGCTTACATTTTCTGTGCACTTTATGCCTCTACTCTTGAGAACAACTCTAATACATAAGTATTTTTTTTCTCTGCCCCACAGGGAGAGTTACCCCAGAACAGCTTCACTCGTATATCCAGCTCTTCAAAAAGAAATTCGACGCTCTCAAAAATCATTGTGGGCTTTTGCAAATCTCACTGGCTGTTGTGCAGACTCTAAAAGACCCTCAGAATGCCAAATGGGACAACTTTTTAGCCTTTGAACGGCTATTTGTACAGGTACCCTATAAGCTGAACTTTTTTTTAAGGAGCAGACGTTGCTTATGCTGCTTTCTTATTTTACTCCTTATGCGTAGGTAGTAACGAACTTCGTAATTCATTAAAAAGCAAAGTGGAGATGACTTGAACTGCCTACCTCAGAGTTAAGCCAGAGGAAAGTTTCTGCCAGGGCAAATGAGAAGCAGAATGAGGGAAGAGCTCCCGCCAGTCCAGAATAGATTACAGTGATATTTTGCAGATCTGCAGCACTTTAGGGTGGAGAAAATTAGTTTTGCTGCAATTGGCAGAACTAATGATGACCGGACCTATTCTAAACACTCTGATTTGGGCTTGATCCTGGTGAGATTTGATCTGCCAAAGTACAGTCAGCTGGCAGTCAGCAGAAGAGGCCTGCAGTACTGCACTCTAACCACTGCGCCACAGAGGCTCTGTGAATGATAGTCATGTATCCATACTCCAGCTGTCTTAAATGCAAGGACTGATCTTTAGACACTTTTTTTCTTTTCTTTTTTTTTTATAAAGTTTTTTATTTTATTTTTATTACAAACCTATCTTCTTCCATTTGATGATGTGTCGCCTGGATACAAGTACCTTGTGCAATGCAATTGGTAATTAAAATCATATTCATTACATTGGTATTGTTCTCTAATCTTGTCTTAATATACTTAATATCTCTATCCCTTTACTCTTTTTCTTAACTTACTTATTTCTATTAAGCTATCTTCTATATTTAACATTAACTAGTCCGTTAACTATATCTAGTTTTCATATTTTTTCTCTAGCCATTGGTAGAATGCAAATTTTTTTACTACTGGTTCTGTGGGCGTGGCTTGGTGGGCGTGGCAGGGGAAGGATACTGTAAAATCTCCATTCCCAGCCCACTCCTGGGAGAAGGTTACTGCAAAATCCCATTCCCTCCCCACCCCACTAACCTACTTTCCAGCTCCATTCTCCTGTGCAGGGCAACAAAAGAAGACCCAGCTGATTAGCTGGGACTCAGGAGGTGGGGAATGGATGGGGGGGGGGGGCAGTCAGAGGTGGTATTTGCCGGATCTCTGAACTACTCAGAATTTCTGCTACCGGTTCTCCAAAACTGGTCAGAACCTGCTGAATACCCACCTCTGGTAGAATGATTGCCATACCTTATGGTATTCAGTTTGCTCTTTTTCTTTAATTGCAAGTTAGACACTCTCCCCCCCCCAGTCTCATTATAACTTCAAATGAATTAGACTTAGACCAGAGAGAAAATAGAATGGAATGGAATGGAGAGAAGATGGAAGAGAAGAGAAGACAAGACAAGACGGAAGAGAAGATGGAAGAGAAGGTGAGGGGAGAGGAAAGGAGAGGAGAGAAGATAAAGGAGAAGAGAAGATGGAAGGGAAGGGAAGAGAAGACAAAATGGAATGGAATAGTTGCTAAACAGATGGCTATTAAATGAGGACTACATGTAGAGAGGATCCAGGATGCAAAGGGTTATTCTGGACTCCTTCCAGTCAATTTTCAGATGAACAACATGATACAACATTGATCAAATTTTAGATGACCTCTAATAGGACTGGGACAGAGGAAATGCATTCTGCATATTGTAGCTGTTCTTGGTCTCTTAGTGGCTTTTGATAGCATTGACTGTGATATCTTCATGCTTCAGCTTCAAGATTTAGCAATGGGAAGCAGGGTGTTACATTTTTTTTAATTCCTTCCATCACAATTGTTTCTAGAGGGTGTTGCAGCAGAGAAGAGATTCGGCCAAAGCCCCTTGCATGGCAGCATCCACCATTATGTCGTCCTGTCTAGACTACTGCAATGTCCTTGCACATGGGATTGTCCTTGAAAATCTTGTGGAAGCTGCAGCATAAGAAGTTATGAGTGCATGTTGTAAACCAGGGGTCTTCCAACTTGACAGCTTTAAGACTTGTGGCCTTCAACTCCCAGAATTCCTCCTCCAGTCATGCTAGCTCAGGAATTCTGATTGTTGAAGTCCACAAGTCTTAAACTTGCCAAGTTTGAAGACCCTTGTTGTAGACTATCATGTCTACTATGCAGCATTGTATTTTTATTTCCTTCTTGTCATGTTTCTTCAAATTGATCCGGCAAATTAGAAGGCTTAAAGTTCTCATTGACAAATAACAGAGTAAAAGACTTTACCAATATTGTGAGAACAGTATGGTCCAGGGATGATTTCAAATTGCCATAGGGACCCCATAAAATATACTTGGAGAGACAATCTATCACCAAGACATTATCCAGGCCCCAAGTTTGCTTCTATAAGATCTTTGGTATTTAAAAAAAAAACACTAGATCCAAACTCATCTAGATAAATGTCTTTGAAGTCCAATTAAACTCAATGGGAGAGTTAAGCTTGTACTAAAATCCCTACCACTAAAATCCATCCAACTCAGCCTGCAGTTCTATATTAAGTATTTTTTGAACTTAAGAGGGCTTTTTCTCCCCAAAATCCATGCACAGAATTAGGTTGCCTGGCTTTGGCTGGACCATACTAATGGTGTCTGAAGTATGAGTATTCAGTTTATAGTTTTATTTGAACAAACATAAACATACAGTACTTCATAAAGAGTTAAAACAATCCAACAACGGTGTTGCATTTAAAACTGAAGAAAAATAAACAAAAAGGAAAAAAAGTAATACCAAATCCTTTCCTAAACATCTGTCTCTGGATTTATACCCATTATGTTTGTTTTTGTTTTTTTAAATAGGCCAGGAATTGCGACCGACCGAAGTCAGCCTTCCCATTCACCATTGTCATTATCTCTTGTGTACACGGTCATTTTCTTTAGTCAAACATTGCATTATATGACCCGTAAGGCTTGCAGTTTTTTACGTTCTGAAGTAGGGTACGGTGCTATTTCGAATCTAGAGCAGGGAAGCATGTGGCTTAAAGAGAGAGAAAAAGTCCAGTTTAGTAATTGAATAGTCTGCCTCTAAGAATTCAGGGTCTCAGAAAACTTCCTTATGAATATCAACTGTTAGCAGGAGTAACATCAGCTGGGAAAGAGGGCATTTTGATCAGTATTGTGAGATGCATGTAGTTGCCTTGTGGAATTTTGGTTCTGTTACTTGCCTTGAACATGGTAATGAATAAGCACGGTACTTAAAATTGTGCAGGACATTTATTTATTTACTTAAATTTTTAGAATAGTTAGCTTTGAATCATTCTTTCTAGTCTATCATAGCCCAGAGACCGCTAAGAAGTGAATGACTGCCTGGTCACCCTGGGGGAAGGCAAACTCCTGTAATTACAATATTGCGTCCAATTAAGTTGACCTAAAAGCTAATTCTATGCATTTATATGATTCCAACTGCGTACTTGGGGGACAATCAATTATTTGATATCAGTCTTCAAAAACCAAAATTCCTTGTCAAATGGAAATAACAGTAATGGATTGGGTCAAATTTATTTAATAAAATATTTTATTACATTAAAAAAACATTGTAAAGCATAATCTCATAAAACATTTTCTATGTTGATCTTGGAGTGTGCTACACAGTTCAACACAGTCTATTTTCAAGGCAGTTTTATCTCTGCATATCTCACTAATTTTTAAGAACTTTTCAAGTACATTTGAAGTTCTGCCATTGTTGAAAGCATTAAAGAATCTATATCCCTTAAATCATAACCAAATAGGTCACATCTTGTAGAGTAGTTAATTAATAAGTATATCTCGGTAATATTTAAGAGGGAAAAATATTAATTTTACAGATGGATTATCTTGAAAGGCTAGACATTTATTGGTCTTAAGAAAGAAAAAATAATTTGAATAATTGTATTGAATAAAAGTATTGAATATATGTATTTTTAAAACTAATTAACATTACATATATTTTTATGACAGTCAACTTTATAGACACATTGATTTACAAGGAATAGACATCAGAGGTGGTATTCAGCAGGTTCTAACCAGTTCTGGAGAACCGGTAGTGGAAATTTTGAGTAGTTCCGAGAAACGGCAAATACCTCCTCTGACTGGCCCCGCCCCCATCTATTCTCTGCCTCCCATTGAGTCCCAGCTGATCGGCTGGGTCATCTTTTGTTGCCCTGCACAGGAGAAGGGAGCTGGAAAGCAGGTTAGTGGGGTGGGGAGGGAATGGGATTTTGCAGTAATCTTTCCCCTGGAGTGGGGTGGAAATGGAGACTTTGTAATATCCTTCCCCTGCCACGCCCACCAAGCCACGCCTACTAAATCATGCCACACCCAGAGAACCGGCAGTAAAAAAATTTGAATCCCACCACTGATAGACATGTATGCATTACATCTGGTAAACATCTATTGGCTTTTGAAAAAAAAAACATGCTTATGCTTGATAATGTATCTTAATAACCTTGAATTAACTTTTACTTCAGATAATATTTTGAAATGGCACAACTTCAAAAGATAACAGAAATAGATTTTATGTAATTAGGAATAACTGTCTTGCAGTCATGTTGTGTTTTTGTGTCCCTGTGTTGCATGACTGTTAATCTCATGCTTTTTGATTGCCATATAACCTATAATGTTTGTAGGTGAATTGAAGTACAGAGTCAGAGCCAAATGTAATTATTTGGAACTAGTTATAGATGGTCTGCTTCAAAGGGATACAAGACCTGAACAGCTTATTGATGTAGAAGAACATTTGTTGGGCACTTGTATTTCTTTTATTGTTAAGTGAGTTGATCTCAAGGTTATGTTTCCGAAGGATTCGTGCTTATTTATTTAATATCCATGTCAATTGTCAGAAAATTATTGAAAATGTGAAACAGATAAAGGAAAGGAAAGGAACAGTTTTTTTGGCCTGAGATTTGTCTGAATATCAGCTGTAGGAAAAAGCATAAGGAATCCTTAGGTTGTATCCTACTCTAAGATAAATTGTTTTTCTGGTCATAAAATAAATAAGATTTGCTCCATTTAGCTAACTGTACAAGAAGGGGTTATACTTTTTTTCCCTTAAAGCAGTGGCCCCCAGCCTTTTGGGTACAAGGGACCAATTCCGTGGAGAGAGGTTTT